TCCCACACACCCTTCATTCTTTTATTCAGAAGAAGAGCCACTCTCTCTTGTTTGTCAGTCTCCTGCCCCGAGTAGAGAACTGTCCACCCCTCTTGGTGGCAGGAGCCAGAGCCGGTTCACCAGACCTCCTGAATGCCACAGAGATCCAGGCGATATCAGTCCAGCTCCCGACAGAGGAGTGGCAGCCTCTCCCCCGGGGTCTCCGACACAAGCTTATTAATAATGAGATATTTTAAACGCGGTTTTGAAGGCCGGCACTGTGGCACACGAGGGGGTGGGTGGCCAGCACCACATCAGGTACAAGTATAGAATAACACACGCAGAAACAGTGTGTGTACTGTGTGTACTGCGTATGTGTACTGTCAGTTTAATACGTGGGCAGATATCACGCGTAGACGTCACGAGTGGACGTCACGAGTAGACGTCACGAGTGGACGTCACGAGTTGACGTCACGAGTGGACGTCACGAGTAGACGTCACGAGTTGACATCACGAGTAGACGTCACGAGTTGACATCACGAGTAGATTTGTCCTGGACCACGGCAGAGCGGACAGCATTCCAGTCGCATTCACCACCACGGCCGTCACTGCAATCGGCCGCGATGGATACGAAATGACCGCCTCGTGCCGCTCATTTTATATATAATAAAAGCCCCCTCATTTGTGACCAATTCCTCAACGTTAGCTCATGCATTTTTAAAACTAATGTCTGCGCTGGGGGTTTTCTTCGTCTTCCGCTGTATGCATTTGAGGAGAGCTCTTTCAAGAGCTCAATAATGGATGGAAGTGCATTAAGCCTCTCTGCATGAGCCGCGGATATTCTCTGCAGGCTGAATGGGGGATAGCGGTGTGTGCGGTGTGTGTGGTGTGTGTGTGTGTGGTGTGTATGTGGTGTGTGTGGTGTGTGTGTGGTGTGGTGTGTGTGTGGTTTTTGTGTGGTGTGGTGTGTGTGTGGTGTGTGTGTGTGGTGTGTGTGTGGTGTGTGTGTGTGGTGTGTGTGTGTGGTGTGTGTGGTGTGTGTGTATGTGTGTGTGTGGTGTGTGTGGTGTGTGTGTGTGGTGTGTGTGTGGTGTGTGTGTAGTGTGTGTGTGGTGTGTGTTTGGTGTGTTTGTGTGGTGTGTGTGTGTGGTGTTTGTGTGGTGTGTGTGTGCGGTGTGTGTGGTGTGGTGTCTGTGGTGTGTGTGTGTGGTGTGTGTGGTGTGTGATGTGTGGTGTGGTGTGTGTGGTGTGGTGTGTGTGGTGTATGTGTGTGGTGTGTGTGTGGTGTGTGTATGTGGTGTGGTGTGTGTGTGGTGTGTGTGTGGTGCGTGTGGTGTGTGTGTGTGGTGTGTGTGGTGTGTGTGTGGTGTGTGTATGTGGTGTGTATGTGGTGTGTGTGTGTGGTGTGTGTGTGGTGTGTGTGTGTGGTGTGTGTATGTGGTGTGTGTTGTGTGTGGGTGTGTGTGTGGGTGTATGTGTGTGGTGTGTGTGGTGTGTGTGGTGTGTGTGTTTGGTGTGTGTGGTGTGTGTATGTTTGGTGTGTGTGTGTGTATGGTGTGTGTGTGTGGTGTATATGGTGTGTGGTGTGTGTGGTGTGTGTGTGGTGTGTGAGTGTGGTGTATATGGTGTGTGGTGTGTGTGTGGTGTGTATGGTGTGTGGTGTGTGTGGTGTGTGTGTGGTGTGTATGGTGTGTGTGTGGTGTGTGTGTGGTGTGTATGGTGTGTGTGTGGTGTGTGTGGTATGTATGGTGGTGTGTGTTTGGTGTGTATGTGTGGTGTGTGTGGTGTATATGGTGTGTGGTGTGTGTGGTGTGTGTGGTGTGTATGGTGTGTGGTGTGTGTGTGGGGTGTATGTATGTGGTGTGTGTGGTGGTGTGTGTTTGGTGTGTATGTGTGGTGTGTGTGTGGTGTGTGTGGTGTGTGTGGTTTGTGTGGTGTATATGGTGTGTGGTGTGTGTGTGTAGTGTGTGTGTGTGTGGTGTGTGTGTGGTGTGTGTGTGGTGTATTTGGTGTGTGGTGTGTGTGTGGGGTGTGTGTGGGGTATGGTGTGTGGTTTGTGTGGTGTGTGTATGTGGTGTGTGTGGTGGTGTTTGTTTGGTGTGTATGTGTGGTGTGTGTGTGGTGTATGAGTGTGTATGTTTGGTGTGTGTGGTGTGTGTGGTGTGTATGTGGTGTGCGTATGTTTGGTGTGTGTGTGTGGTGTGTGTGTGGTGTATGCTATATGTGTGATTCTACGGGTCTCTGTGTGAGTCTATGTATATACAGTACATATGTTGAACTTCTTTCGTACCGTACGTGGCCAACTGTATTAATCGCTGTTGCGTATGCATGTGTATGCCAATTTCTCTTACTCATGCGTGCGTGTGTATTGTACGTACGTGTGTGTGTGTATGTGCGTGTGTGCATCTGGATTTAAAAGGTACGCTTCATCATTCAAGTTGCTCGTGTCCTGTGCCTTTACTTCGGCAGCTAATGGTGTTTAATATGAGGTCCATGTATTCTGTTCTTATGGGGAGCGGTGGCGCAGTGGTTAGCGCACTGCACTATGAACCCAACGGCCCAGGTTCGATTCCCGCTCACGGCCAACACAACGGTGACGATTATCCGAACCGGTCCTGGGCATCCCCTAGGTCGACTCAGCCACAAAAGAGTACCTGCTGCGGTGTGTAAACATCGCAACTGGGGAGACAAAGGCGGCCGAGCGTGGTGCTGGACACCCCACCCCCTCGTGTACCACAGTGTCGGCCTTCATAGGTGCTACTCGCTAACAGCACTTGCCCCAACAGTCTGATGAAGGCTACACGGGGGATCTTTGTCCTTGCGTGTGTGTGTATTTTGATGCATCTGTGTAACGGATACGTTTTGATTAAAATTTTATTGTTTGCAACATCGTCCACTCCTGGAAAACAGTCACTACACAGAGGCTTTCGTGGGTAAATTATGCAGAATATTAAGTCTATACATTTTATTCGACTACTTTGAGGCAGGGCCATTGCCCGAAACGTCGCCTATTGTATATTTGTCCTATTAAGGCCACACAGAGTGTCGTTGACAAATGTTTTACGTTTTGTTTAATTTAAAGTCGAACATTTTCCCTGGTTTATTTTCTTGGGCCTCTTTATATATTCGGGGCCTCTCCCACATCTCACCACTCGAAGGCGGGAACCCCTCCCCGGGGTCGAGCCACACCCGGGACCCTCGAAGCTGCCGCGGATAACAGGAGTAGCGGATTACAGGAGTCGCGGATTACAAGAGTAGCGGATTACAGGATTCGCGGATTACAGGAGTAGCGGATTACAGGAGCCGCGGAATACAAGAGTCGCGGATTACAGGAGTCGCGGATAACAGGAGTAGCGGATTACAGGAGTCGCGTATTACAGGAGTAGCGGTTAACAGGAATAGCGGATTACAGGAGTCGCGGAATACAGGAGTCGCGGATTACAGGAGTCGCGGATAACAGGAGTAGCGGATCACAGTAGTTACGGAATACAGGAGTCGCGGATAACAGGAGTAACGGATTACAGGGATCGCGGATTACAGGAGTCGCGGATTACAGGAGGCGCGGAATAAAGGAGTCGTGGATAACAGGAATAACATATTACAGGAGTCGCGGATTACAGGAGCCGCGGATACCCGGAGTAGCGGATCATAGGAGTCGTGGATTACAGGTGCCGCGGATAACAGGAGCAGCGTATTACATGAGGCGCGGATTACATGAGGCGCGGATTACAGGAGTCACGGATAACAGGAGTAGCGGATCATAGGAATCGCGGATTACAGGAGTCGCGGATTACAGGAGTAACTGTTTACAGGAGTAGCGGATCACAGGAGTCGTGGATTACAGGAGCCGCGGATAACCGGAGTAGCGGATTACAGGAGCCGCGGATTACAGGAGTCGCAGATTACAGGATCCGCGGATTACAGGAGTCGCGGATTACAGGAGTCGCGGATTACAGGAGCCGTGGATTACAGGAGCCGCGGATTACAGGAGTCGCGGATTACAGGAGTCACGGATTACAGGAGTCGCGGATTACAGGAGTCGCGGATTACAAGAGTTGCGGATTACATGAGTCGTGGATAACAGGAGCCGCGGATTACAGGAGTCGCGGATTACAAGAGTTGCAGATTACATGAGTCGTGGATAACAGGAGCCGCGGATTACAGGAGTCGCAGATTACAGGAATAACTGATTACAGTAGCCACGGATAACCGGAGTAGCGGATCATAGGAGTCATGGATTACAGGAGCCGCGGATAACAGGTGTCGCGGATTACATGAGGCGCGGATTACAGGAGTCTCGGATTACAGGAGTCTCGGATTACAGGAGTCGCGGATTACAGGAGTCGCGGATGAGAGGAGTTCTATTTTCATATTCTTAGCTCTTTCGGTAAAGTCACGTTGAAGGGAAACAATAAAATAATGAAATATCTATTTATCATTTCAATATATATTGTCGAGTAATCGGATCGATTATCGGTAGAGCAATCGATTACTCGAAATGATCGGATAGTTCAGCTTTGGTGTCTCGATGTAAAGAATGCTGCGTCACGATTAATTAGCATTAACCTTATCCAACGTATTATATCAGACGCTTTACACACATGAATATTGTTGCTATGAATGTTAATAAATTTGTGATGACGTCTTGCATATCTTAACGTATAAGTATCAGATACTTTTGATTTAAAGCTTTCGTGACTGCAGGGATTCATATTCTTGGTTCTGTCGGTAAAGTCACGTAGAAGGGAAACAATAAAATAATACAAATATAAAAAATAAAATTCTCACGACGTTTCGACGGATAAATTTTTCTTTAATTTATTTCGACTGATACTTTACATATTCGGTTGACGTCATAATTATTTAAACGAGACGTGCCGACGTCCTGACATCATAACATTGCGCGCTGCCCGCAATACAATTCAACATTAACATAAGTTATGGTTAGCCTGATGACGTCACGCTATAAATTAACATTTTGATTACGCCACGGACCGATTCTCATTAACATAAATTATAGTTGCGTCGTGACGTCGGCGCAACGTCGGCGGACGTCAAAGGCGCAGGAGGGGGAGGCGGCCCAGGCGCCCTGAGGCGTGTTCGAGGCAGTTGTCGTAGCGATGTGGCCACGTCGGATGAAAGCAGCGATGGAGCTCGCGGACAGGCCTACAGATTTAGCGCCATTGCGTTAACAAACATCAACGAGATACAGGGACGTGGCGGCGGCGGTGGCGGCTGCGGCGGGGGAGCAGCCAGGGAAGGGAAGACGTAAGTTGGACCGACCGCAGTGCGGCACTCCGCCGGCGGAGGGGCACCACGCCCGGCGCCCTGATTCAGGCAAGGCCGCAGGGGCCCGAACGCAGCTAGGCCGCAAGGGCGGTCCTATTTTTTTTTTTAAACCACAAATTTTCTTTGCGCTTTGAGGCGATTTAACAAAATAACGCAGACGCCGTCGTGAGCGTTCGTACGCCATCAACGGAGAGCAGCCCGGCGCGATGGAGTCGGCGAAGGTGAAGCTTCCTCGCCGCAAATGGGAGGTGTTCCCAGGCAGGAACAGATTTTGCTGCAATGGGCGCATCATGATGGCCAGGCAGTCTGGTGTTTTCTACCTCACTCTGGCACTCATCACCATCACCAGCGGCCTCTTCTTCGCCTTCGAGTGAGTATCCATTCATTATAACCAGCAGCGGCATCATCGGTAGCCGGGAGTCTTTTAATCGGCAAGCGTCACTTAAAATCACAGTCGTCGTTGGCATCACGGGGTCGCTGACTTATTTTCGCGTGATGCTCTTCATCATCAGCGTCATCATTGAATCATCGTCGCGAGCAGCAACAGCAGTGCCACTGTGATCATTGTAATCATCATCATCTTTGTCATCAGGTTTCACTTGCTGTCATCATCAGCTTTAACATCATGAGGCGTGTCGTTCTACACGTGCACGATGTCGTGGTCGTTATGATTTCCATAGTCACCAGCGGGGGTGGGGGGCTCCTCTTTGCCTCTTAGAGTCGGTGACTCATGAGCAGCAGAATCTTAAATCGGTGGCGGCAGCAGCAGCAATCGCCGCCACTCGTCACCAGCTTGATCATCGTCTGCTTCGTTCAACACGTTCATTGTGATTCGTGAATACCATCATCCGCAGCAGCAGCGGATGATGGTATCACCACCACTGTCATCGTCGGCTGCGTCATCATAACTGGTCATCATTGGTGGACATCGGTTTCATTGACCATAATTATCTTTTAAGTGTCAAGTAACCATCATTCCTAATCATATTCACTGCCATCATCACCACCACCACGTTTTAATGGCATTGGTTAAATAATCCACAACGCAGGATCCCTCTGAGTCGATAGATCCAGCGAGGATTCCTGGATAAGGCCCATCATAATATCATCGTTATCAGTGTCACCATAACCATCTTCACTGTCTTCTCCATCATCACCACTACAACTATATTAGTTGCGTTATCGCTTATACTGTACTAGTCGGCACCACGACTATCCACCATGATCATCCTCGTCTCTTAACGTTATCATAATCATGGCTTTCACCACTGTCTTCCGAATTTATCATCATCATGAAAGTCATCACCATGGCAATCGTAAACATCCTACGGTGCATTTTTAAAGAGTTTTTAAGGTTCTGTGCATTTTGTTCAATGTTTTAAGTGCGTTATTAATCACAATTATCCACACGTGCAACACTTGAGGGGTTTCAGTTCCCCACAAAACACATGCAGATGTTGTAACAGCAGTGGTACCCCCCCATACCACACACGTTTGGGTGTTCAGTTTGTTCCCCTCCGATTAGCACGGTTGGTTACGTACGGTGCGAAAGAAGTTCACACTTACAGCACATAGAAAACAGGCGAATGGATGTGGGGGGGGGCTATGGAAATGAGGGAAAAGCGTCGACGATGTTGCAGTGAGAACGCCAGGGAAGACACTGGATTGGAAAGGCCGTGACATTCATTGGGAGGCTGTCAATTATTGGCATGGACTTGAACGAGGTGGGAAAGTCAACAGCATTGAGAGCAAGCAAGGGACGCGGTTAGTTGAGGACTTTAGGAGCAGCAGCAGCAGAGGAGGAGAGAGACCTTCCAGTGAGCGGGAGATTAATTGATGGCAGGGGTTTCCTTTTAAGAAGTCTTGTTTAAACGGAGCATTGTGCCGATGTGTTGTTGCTAATGGCTGCAGACTAATAGAGCGACACATTGGTACGTCCATCAGCGCAGTGCTGCTTTAGAGTATTGTGCCATTCATATTTGGCGTTCAGGCCCTATCGTAGACATCTTACGACCAAACAACGTGCCTGATCTCGACAGATCGCGGAATCTGATCAGCTCTGCGCCTGGTTAATAACACTTTGATGGGCAGACCACGTTTGCACAAATAGGCCGTCATAGGCTTCTGAACGGCGAAGTGGTAGTGGGCAGCAGTGGGCAGTGCCGAAAAAAATCCATTGTTGTACTCTACCTATATGCCCCCCCCCCCACCGTGTCTATGCTCCCCGCCTTCACCAACGCACGCAGAACTGCCTGGTGTATAGTCTGGTCGAATAACTTTGGGAAACTCAGATGTTGAATGTTTGTGCTGCGAGGTGATCGAGAGAGGGCAGTACAGCAATGGATTCTGGAATCTATCCGTTCCTGGCTTCTGTGTGTGTGTGCGAGTTGTCCCAAGGGTTCCTCAAGTTTCCTCGCACACGAAGCCAGAGATGCGTGTTCATCGAATTTGGTCAAACAACCCAGAGCAGAACCCTGCTTAAAAAAAAAACAACCCAACGTCATCGTTATTATCTTGATGATTATTGTAACTTTCTGACCCGCCCCTACTGCGCATCTGTAAAAAATGTGGTTGTTGACCGGAGCCTCGGTTGGATTGTTACATTGTAGAATTGCGAGAGATGGGCGATTGGGGGTGGGGGGAGGTTGGAGGGAAGGAGGCTTTCATCCAGCAGTGGATTGACCATGGCTGATGATTATTTTTGGAGCCAGTGCTCTGGCAGTATGTACGTATGTTGAACTTCCTTCGCACCGTATGTAGCCAACCGCGCCAATCGGGTGTGTCGCGGGAAGGAAAACAAACTAAACACAACGGCAAGCGGTTTGAAAGAAATGAGTTTGTAAATCTAGATGACCATTTAGAAGTGCACAGCTTCCAGTGGTTTCCTAACATCGGAAGGGAAGAGCGTTCCAGACGGCCGCCTAAGCGCGTCTTGAAAGCTCCGCGCGATGTGGCGACCACCGTCTTTTTGTTCGATCGCCGGCAAAAAAAGCCCCGCCGCTTTGTGGAAGTATTTGGGTTCGGATCCGAGTAGAGTGTTGATTCTTTTCCTATTCGTGTCACAAACTGCTGCACGTTTTCTTGACATATTGTCGGCCAGTTGGTGCCCAAAGTGTTGCCAAGCCTGGACATTGCCGGCAGCCACAGCAACGAAGCGATGACCGAGCAAATAACAACTTTCAAGTAGACAGCCACTTGGCAGCAGACAGTTTTCAAACACATTGTTTGGATTACTCGAGATAAGGCCACCTAATTGGGCCCTGTCCCGATTAAATAAGGGAAGGGGACTTAAAATGTTATGCACGGGTGCCAAATTTGAAGATAAATTTTGACTAAACAGATGGGCGTGGATAGTCCTGGCCGTGGATTTGGGCCAAGGGCTACTACGATGGTGATGAAATTCAAGCAGGACAGGAGTTATAAAAAAAAATCGCGCTTTCGCATGGATTATGTAACGCGCAAGCTCCAGGATGTATTTGTCTTCGGAAGTATTTAATTATCAGGACGGAAGCTGGCGGGTAGCTTGGCAGGGCGAAACGCGTTTGTTTGCGAATGTTATTTTTTTTCTTCCCAACTGTGGTTTGTCTCTCCCAAAGTTTTCGACAACCCTTTGATGATCAATTCGGATGAATTTCCGTTTGCCTTAAGTCTTCCATTAGCAACTGAACTCTTGACCGAACTTTTGCTTCATATTTGGTTCAGTCTCTCAAATTTTGGGCAACCCTTTGATCAACGTGGCCGGTATTCTCCGGAGTAAGTCCCTTACAGGAACGCAACTTAAAATGCTAAATGTTTCTTTCATATCGGACTTTCCTTAACAAGACGTCTGCGGCCCCTTGTTACGGACGGACAGGCGCGCATTGCTTTTTCACCCGGAGTTGGAATAATAAGTGACCGGCACTAGGGCTGAACGATTTGGGTAAAATATCTAATTGTGATTTTTCTGACAGCTATTGCGATAGGGAGCTGCGATTACATTTTTTTAAGTCAAGCTTCAGTTCAATATTCACTGTGTAATAGATTTAAAACATGTGATGGAGCGTTACCACACGATATCATCAAAATATGAACTGCTAATGCAAGGATGAGAACTTAAAATATATAAATTGCTTCCAACGTGTATTTATTGAAATGTTTTAATTGAAATAGAACAATCAAACATAGAACAATTGTTAAGTTAAAAAAATAAAGTTATAATAATAAAAAATAAAACAATTCCAATAAGAAAGTAATAGGACTTTTCAAATCGCTAAAAAAAATCGTAGCCTTTGCGATTTGCTAATCGCATTGTTTCAAATTGCGATTTCGATTTGAAATCGATTAATCGTTCAGCCCTAACCGACACTGCATTGGCAGCGCGTGCGCACTCGCAAAGTGAATGGGGAAGTTTATCAGATGGAATAGTTTTTTTTTAATTCGGCCTTGCTGCATTTCCCCACGAAACGGCAAACAGTTCTCATGATATTGTGCAGGAGGAACCCGAGCTATTTTCTGCTAATGTTGTTCGACTGAGTCACAGATGCCTTGGGGGAGGAGGGGGGGGGGGGGGTTTCGGGGCGGTTTGCACGAGTAGCTTTGATGCATTATTCCACACTACTAGAAATGCCCTGTGAAGAGGCTTCCCGTCTTAGATCCGTGCCTTCGTCCCCAGTGGAGCTATTTTTTTTTTAGAAACTGGGGTCGGCTACATGAAACAACCCAAGCGGTTTCCACATCATCATCATCAGCATCACCAGCCGTGATCAATCCACTGCCGGAAAAAGTCTTCCCCCGAGGTCTTTGCCCTCTCTCGCGTTCCCGCGACGCGACAGTCCCCACGGAGAGTCTGCACACCCGAGTTGATCGCGTCGCTCCAGCTCGCCTGCAGCAAAACAAAAAAAAAACTGCCCCTTTTACCACTGGTGGATAAAGGCTTTCCCACATCATGCCGGTCACCGCGGGTTTACGTACGTACGTACGTGCGTTGAACTTATTTCGTGCTGCACGTAGCCATCCGTGCTAATCGAAGGTGTGGTGTATGTAAGTTGAACTTCTTTCGCACTGCAAGTGGTCAACCGTGCCGATCGGAGGTGCTGGGGAAGAGCAACGGCAACAAAAATGACTATACTTCCCCGTACTGGTCAGTTAGCGAAGCCAAATCAGTGTCGGATGAGGGCAACGTTCACCCACCGTGTTCATTGAAGTTGACCACGGATTGTAACGATGTCACGGTGTCTCGGAGATGTTAACTCCTTTGCCTGGTATACAGGAGGTCGTGGGTTTGATCTCGACACTGCCGCCTGCTGTATATTCGTAGTTTGCATGTCTCTCTCTCTCCCTGTGGTCGTGTGGATTTTTCTCCCGGTCCTCCAAATATTATAAACAAACTTA